AACTAACTAAAACTATGTTTAAAAGTACTTAAGGACATATAGTATTGTAAAGGAAGAATTACTTTTGGTCTGTGTGGTTCTGTTCTCCTTCACTTTTATTTCTTCTTCCTTTTTTATCACCATCTTTGTTTTTTGTTTCATTGAGATGGTTGAGATCCAATCTTATTGATCTGTAATCAAGCTAAAATGGTAAAACTTGAAGAAAACTTGAAATCAGGGCGTCATAAATGGAGTGCAATAAAGAAAATAAAAAAGGTGCTATGGAGGTCCTCCACATAGCTTGCAGCTGATTGTAATGTACAGTATAATTGTTTTACTCTTACTAAGAAAAATATATATGACGGTAAAGCACTGGTATTTTAGTTTGATTATGTATCAGATCTCCTGTGATACTGAGTACTGAATGTAGCTAAGTCACTGGAAACCATTCAAAGAATGACTGCCTTACTCTTCTACTGTCCACAGGAGATTACTGTAGGTGTGGCATTTTGGTCCATCTCTCCTCGGCCCTCACTCACATAATAAAGACCCCCACTTGAAAGGCCAGAAGCCCAGCAGGGGACATGGGTCAGTGTTTTGCTGCCTGTCAACAAAACCTGCTGTGTGTCTTCAGTGCAGCAGTCAGAGAGAGAGAGAGAAAAAAACTCAATGCAATGCTTTTTCCCACTTTTGAGTATTCATTAAACATGTTCAACATTTCAAATGTTTGACTTGTAATAAAGTCGTGTTTCGTCTAGAAGGGACACTCCTGCTGTGAGTTTGTTTGGTTGCTATTTGCAGTGAGATTGCTGTGTATACATGTATGCACCATGTTCAGGACGGTCTGCATTAAAACATTTGAACAAATTCATTCTCTTTGAATGGACGAAAAAGGCTTTCCTGCTGATTTGTGAGACACTGCCATTCATCACCACCAGATGGCCCAGTTTGTCCAAAGTTAATTTTTGCTATTTCCTTTGTGGTTACAGCATGGATGATTAAAAACATCCAATGTTTGCTAAACTTTTCTTTTGCCCTGTCCAACAGTGTAGCAATTGTTGTCTGAAGGCCAAAAAATGCCACACAGATTTACTTTCCCACATGGACCATTACCGTATTTGCTATAATGGTCCACTTGATAGTTATGTTTCATTAGAATTTTATCAGGATTTTTAATTTTGAGTTATTATAATCACAACGGACAAAACAAAGAAAGAGAAGTTGGGAAGAAAGAAAGGGACAGAGAAAAAAACACATCAACAACAGAAGTGGGACAAAACCACTTTGCCAACAGGCTACACTACATGTCAGGATGGTTAAAACATGCCCTCTTAGAAAAGCCCGGGCCAAATTAAGTAATTCACTTGTATCTATTGATGAGTGTCCCTTTTATGAAACCAGTTAGGCCAGGCCGTATTATGAGGTGGGTTATCTTCTCTAATCTTTTAGAGTTTTGTGATGTCAGTAACCACTACAGTGTGACACCCAAAAAGCATTGTTGGCTTCATGTTGAGGTTTACTGGCACAGAGCACAGAGAATTATTTAACACGATTACTTAAACTTTTGTTATTTTTTTTAATGCTGCTGACAACCCAAAACGTCCGCTATGCTGAAGCTTTATGCAGCTACAATGTGTCGTCTTAGTTTATTTGTATAGTGACAAAAAAAAAGAAGAAGTTTGGCAAAGAATAAGGCTATGTGAGATTTTAAACTTTGAACTGTTTTGAGTTTGAGGTTCATAAATCAGACGCTGATGCTATAGTGGTGTAAACCTTTATAAGGCCCGGGCATGTCAAATCTCTTTTACCTTGTGGGCCGAGCAAGCGCACTTCGAGCTTGGACCAGTGAAACTCCCCTTTCTATCATTCAATTACACGTTTATTCCCTGGGAATGTCACGGCTGGGGCGGCAGTCGTGTGGAGGGTGAGAAAGGAGGATCCAATAGCAGACAATGGCGGAGGTTTTATTTACAGTGCACAAAACCAAGGTGTGGGCAGAACTGAACATAAACCTAAACTGGGAAAACTAATACAAAATGAAGGACATGGAGCGAGATGGAGAGAGACACAAAGAAACATGGAATAATGTAGACTACACAGGAGGTTCACAGAGAAACACAGGGCTTAAATACACAGGGGAGTAATTAGGAAATGGACAACAGGAGGGAGACACAGCTGGGAGAAATTAGGCTAACGAGACAGGACAAAGGTAAAACTGAACACACTGACATGAGACATGAACTTTCAGAATAAAACAGGAAACTAACAGACACAGAGAAGCATGGACAGACAGAGGGAACACAGGCAGGCATGCAACAAACACACTGACACATGGCAAACCTAAACAAAAGACAAGGCAGAATAAACAAGAATATAGAAGAATATAAAGAAACACAAAACACCGAGTCCTCAGACTCAGGACCATGACAGGGAAGGATTAATGTGGGGGAAAAGGTGCATTTACGACAGTATTTCTTAGTTTTTCAACATGAGAAATGGATTATATTACATAAAAGTTTAGGTTTCATTGCCTAGACAAATGTTTTAGTGCATATCTGTATGGTAGGTGGTGAAAAACAGGAATCTTGTTTTTGTATGGTATGGGGTGTCATGTGGGAGGTCTTTAACAATAAGAAAAACTGTAAAAGCTGTGAAATTATAGATAAAACGTTTATATCCTCCTTCACATTTTCCAAAGCCTTTCAGACTGTAGTCTTTGCTGGGCTGATTCTGGTACCCGGGGCTTTTGTTAGACATCGCTGATCATGACTTTTTATTCTATACCAGGGTTAGGCCACTCCAGGCCTCGAGGGCCGGTGTCCTGCAGATTTTAAATCTCACCGTGGGTAAACACACCTGAATCAGATGATTAGTTCATTATCAGGCCTCTGGAGAACTTCAAGAGATGTTGAGGAGGTCATTTAGCCATTTGAATCAGCTGTATTGGATCAACGACACATCTAAAAACCGCAGGACACCGTCATTCGAGGCCTGGAGTTGCCCACCCCTGTTCTATACCTTCTACATATATGTGATGCACTGGTCACATTTCTCAGACTCGCTTTC